GGTGTAACCTGCTTATTTGAAAACTTGTAACCGGGTTCAAAATTAGCGTACCCACATTGTCACAGGTAAATGACATTCAGGTACTCAGTTAAGTATCCATTTTATTACCTACAGTAGTATTATAGGAGGGGTAATACAATCATTCATTTTTATTTTAATATATAAGTTTGAACATGTCCTGTAATAACTTCAGTTACAAAATAAAAGTGGTAAAACCATAAACTATTTTCAAGAACAATTTAGATTCAATCAAATTTCCGTCCATCCATTCATGTCTCAATTTTGTTTCCATCTGTGCACTATCAATTGATCCAGGAACACCGGCAAAATTTTTTCAGAAAAAACGACCAAATACACAAATGCAGAAATTCCTTCGAATTTTTGGATTTTTCTTTATTATGTGCCTTGTGAAATAGATATCGGTTCATTCTGAAAGTGGTAATTTATGAGTGAATATTGTATTCGATCATATGATGGGAGTTCAAGAAATGTACAAATAATCCTGAACAGTTACTGTTACGTGCTGAGATGATCCTTGATCTTCCATTTCAACTTCTGTTGTATTATTTTGTATTCACTCAAATAAAAGGAGATATGTTGGCTACATAACTTACGAAGAAGAGAAACGCAAATAGATGCACTTCTGTGAAACACATGTTAACAGCACAACATTGGATTTCTGTAAATAATTATTTATACATAAAATCGTAATTGGGAACACACTGAAAACGACTGGAGGAAACTCAGTTATAGTAACTAATTTCCTCGGTGTTGTCTCGAATAACTTCACCGCTGGAGATAATTATAGGAAAGATAGAAGCATTTTGAGATAATTTGGGTTCCCTTCTGTATAGGAATCTGAGGCAACGATAAAGTATACGTTCTCGCTTTAATACATGCTCCACTACTATATCTCTCATGGATTTTCTTCAGAATAACAATCTGAAAAATATTATTCCTGACACTGGGAACTAGCTTAAGCTATTGCGCAGTGTCAGTAATAAGCTAGCATAAGCTAGTGTCCAGTCAACGTAGAGAACAAAGGTCAGTCCTACTCACCATGTAAGGGTCGTGCTTCAGAGCCCAGAAATATTGAAAACTCAATACATTTCTCGAAAGCTATCAAAGTATTTGACAAAATTCAATTCCAACTAACTTGTGGCTCTAATCTATGTTACCTATACCTTCGGTAAATATTCTAGAGGTTGATGCGTTCATTTTGAAATTGAAAATGTTGGAATCGGTGCCACTATATCCCCTCAATTAAGTAATATATCATCAGTTTCACCAATATCAAATAATGAACAAACTGAAAGTCCAAAAATACTTCATTGAAAAAATATCATAACTACATTCCATCATTCATCACCTAAAGGGTGAAGTGTAAAGGGCTTGCTCTTCGTTATGGACGCGCCTTCGCCGCCCCACTGAAAGGAGGCGGTGGGGAACGACCCCCCGATATGTTAGCGGGTTGCATCCACCAAGAAATGTGGACTTCGTTACTCTGTATTATTCATGTCCGTTTTGCATAAGGTCATTTAAAAATCGACACCGCTATGTTTGTCAGAATTGGCCGGATACTCCTAGGAAAAGTTCATGAAAAAACTAGGACGGAACTATCGATACGAGTTTCCAATGCTAGTTTTTTCATGCACTTGCAAGCGGTCTTCTACACGCCCTTCGTGAAAGATTTTCGACGACTCATAGATCAGTCCACCATATGGGCGGAGCTGATTATGGTGAGATCTAATAGACGTGACTACACTAGTCAGCAAGCTTTCAGGAAGAAACCACTGGAAGTGTTTATCAGCGAGCCGTCTGATAAAATCTATGATAGGCTCGATTTTCGCTTTGTCTGTCAAACGCCTGAATGAAACATAGCTGGCCTGATTACTAGTTTGAATATCAGGAAATTGTTGTCAACATTGAGTTTGAAATTTCATTTTATGGGAGAATGGTTGCGTTTTATCGCCTCTCGTGCTTTCTGAATTGCCAAACATACATGCTCTCGGAAATTCAAGCGCTTGTTTAGGATAACTCCAAGGTATTTCGCGCTTTTCTGTTCATTCACACATTTCCTTCGAATCGTCAATTTCCTGAAAATCTTTATATCTTATGTCTCTCCATGTATGGTAAGACTAACCTATCACTGTGAATATGCAATGTCTCATTGCCACTTCGCTATATATCAAATTCATTACATTCGCCATTATATACTACCCCTGTAGGTACTAATAGAAATAGAGGTATTTGACTTAATAACATTTCTATGAAATTTGCTAACATCGCATTGATTTCTGAAGTCATGTCCCTTCTAAAAGTGTCATTTAAGTGAAATCAATAGTATTCATAACAATATACATTGAAAAAATTGGAAAACTAAACGTTTTTGTATAAAATAAGGAGTTCTTGAAGAAGTTTTGAGTTCAATTCAATATTTCAACTGACAGATTTGTACTTATCTACTCGAGACGTTCTGCCACATTCAGTGTTTTCGTTTCTGTAATCAAAGTGGAGTTGATAGAAGTTAAAACTGGAATCTCTAGCATACAATAAATTCAAAACAAACACTTTTCACAAATGCTAGAACTACAGAACTCCTGGAGACAGCAACTTGGTTAGTGAAATGCGCGACGAAACGAGTATTGCAGTGCTGGTGTTCTGAAAACCAAAGTTCCATATTTCACTTGAGAAAACTAAATGATTATGAACAGTTGAAAGTATCCCTCTTTTCTTTAAATATGCTATTTGATTTCATACATTCTCCTTATCATTTGAGACAAAATCCAGAGTAGGTGTTGGTGACAGATATCTATATGACGGATTGTTCAAACTTTGACACAATTCATTCAAAATTTGAAGTTACAAATATATCCACAAAATGCATAAATCTATGGGAGATCAACCACACATTTTCATTGACAAACCTGCAACCGATAAAATTGAAGGTATAATCACCGCTGGAGAAAGAAAAAGAAGAAATGATTGCGATCTCAGAGCGAGAATTCTTGCCATGAAAAATAATATCGACCAACTCAGAAATGAACTTAACAACGAAAAAAAAATGTTGGCTTTAGAAAGATTGAAAATTTTAGGCTGCTCTACAAGTAAGGTATGGAATTATTGTTAAACCATCATTACTTTCAACGGTTCGCACTGTTTTTAACAAATATTGAACTTATATATTTTTTCTGGTGATTACAAACCTGAAGTGAAACTATAACTCTCCGGTCTACATACTCAAATACGAAAGTTGAAACTGTTGATAAATCATCTATTTCGTAATGAAATATTTTCACGATCGTAAACTGCCGACCTTCATCCACCCATCTTAAATGTTTTCACAATTGAAAAATTCATTTTCTCCGAAATAACATTTTTTTGTAATAATTACACTTTATTAGTATTTTTGTCATCATTTGTTAGCAGTACCAGATGAAATTGCCGAATTTCAAAAATTCGACTCAGTTTTTCCTTAGTGAACCAAAAATCCCTACATTGAAAGTAATTTTTCATTCATCAACATGTATATGCTATTCTTCACACAATTGTAATTATTGAAGGAACATCTCAAGAAGATGATTCAAATTGAAAAGTTCTCGAGTAAATGTTTGTTTTGGATGTTTTGTTTCATCCCAAGAGGAATCATATGTTGTAAAATATGTAGAATAAGGAGGCCATCTAACCATTTATCATGGGAATGTTAATGGGCGGGGCATTTATCTACAACTATTCAAATTTTCTGAAAATAAACGGCCCTATTGATTTGTTATTCAACGAACCGCATCATATTGGTTCTTGTTATCTTAAACCAATATTTGGATTCTCATCTGACAATATCTACAATTTTGAAATGACATAATACTATTTGTTATCAAAAGTGTATTCAAACAGAATATGCGATAGAAATCATACATTTTCTTTATTCCACCTTGGACACACAACAAAATTGTATACTTAATCATAGCCTCTAGCCTGAAATGTGCGAAGAAATTATGACCTGTACCTATGGGTGGTATTTTTTTGTCTTCAGAATGCACTTCATGAATATTTTTTCACAACAGCATATTTATATAGTTTTGTGAACCTTTTGATTACAATGAACATCAAAGTCTGGCTCAGGTTAAACTAATCTATATTTTTCCTTCAACTCAAGAGATGATTGAATAGTACATTACTCATTGTTGATTATATCGAGAGTATAATACCATGTGTGATTAGTATCTCTGTTCTTTTTTGGATTCTCATATGAATTTTCACGTCAAAGTATAACAAATATCATTGTGCATATCGGTGATTTAATACCCCGAAAACTTTCGCCAGGTTTACTAAAGAAACCGTGATTTATGTGTGTGTGTTTGGTATGCAAATTTAATTCCGCATACAAATCCACTGCACACCATTTCAGTAATCGAATTTGTTCCTGGAGTGATATATGTAGTTTCATTTTTCCAAAAGTTCATAATGCACGGTTATACTTCATAAGTGACTGTGTTCCGTTGGGTTACTGATTTTTGCTGATGAAAGTACAAAAACACGCTTTCAAGCATTAGGAAAGTAACAACAATTCAAACATTCATTCACAATATGATGAACAACAAAGCAGAATTATATCAATATGATGATTATCAGTCCCAAAAAACTAAGATTAAATATCACAAATTATTGTGGAAACATAACCCACATTTGTTTGGGAAAATGCGAAAAGCTGATATTATTTTCTTCAATAGAATTTAAATTGCAATTCACTATATCACTTTGAGGTAGTGGGTCATTACTCAGCGCATCTGTATCTTTATCTGTAGAGTAGGAAGTCCTGTTCATCCCCAGCCACCGCCTTAGATTGAAGTGAGCACTTTTGTCCAGCCTTGGGATTGGTTTTTGTTTTTTTTTATTTCTATTTTTGTCTTGTTTCATTCATGTGTGTTCCCACGAGTGGCAAGGAAAGAGTTGGTCACCTCTGTCAGAGCCCCGCATTACCAGAGGTAGGCTGATTACAATGAAGTTTCGCCCAGTTCCTCAAGGGGATCGTTCGTGACGGCATATCACCTTGCGGTCATTCGGGTGTCGGCACGATTCCTTACACCTTAGCTTGGGTAGGCTGATCCACGGTGGCATGTTTTGCAAAGGCTTCTGGGGGTTTTTGTTCCAAGTTCCTAGACTATCAGGTAATTCATTTTGTTTATATCTCTAAGATCCTCAAGTAATTCATTATGTTTACTTTTCATAACGCCTTTTATAACGTATTTTTTGAATACCTACCATTGTTTTCTGCTATGAGTGAAGTGTCTTCTCTAAATATGCCTTTTTATCTACTGATGGAGGAAGAAGTGAAATTCCTCAACTTTCTGTGATAATTAAGATCAACAGGCTGTTGACTCCTTTGATACGTTCTGAGAGCTTCCTCACGCATTATTTGCATCAATCTGAAATTATTAGTAATCCATGGGGTGTATTTTTTTTCGCCAAATACTAGGTTTTCTGTGGTGGATATATATCAGCCAATAACAAAATATTTTTTTATCATCAATTGATTCAATATATATATTCAATAAAAATTTTCAATATCTCTTTGAAAACTGTTCAGATTGATGTCGTTGAAATTTCTATAAGTATATTTTTCAAAGAACGGGGCTTCATATTTGACTGTAACGAGCAAGAAATAATAAAGTGATCAGCTATATCAGCATTGGTCACATCAGCATTCACAATTCCAAAATTAGTAAACAGCAAATCTACAAGAGAAACGTTATTTCCAGAAACCCGGTTGGGAAAATCAATTATCTGTATCAAATTAACCATTTCTGTTTTTGCTCGTAAGTTATTCGGCAGTTTAGAATTCGAATCTGAAAAATGTATATTGAAATCTCCAGTACCTACATATTATTTTGTCATAATCTGAAAGTATAGTAATAAGAGTTTCCTCGAACTTATTCAGGAAACACATATTATTCGAGTTAGGTGGTCTTTATACTATACCTAGAGCATACTTTTCCTCTTCCATTTTTACTTGAAGCCTTAACTGTTCTAAATACTCCAGATTTTTTTTCAGAATAACCGTGGTATATACAGCAGACCCCCCCCTTCTTACTAGCAAATTATTTCTCACCAATTCATATCCTCCAATTGAAACACACAAGCACAAGATACAGCTATCGGTCTGAGTCTTGGCCGGTGGGAGGAATCGTATTAACATAAAGTTTGGGTCGGTTTATGACAAGGAAAGTATTGGGAAAAAAGAATTGAAACTTTTGTTAGCAGTTTTAGTTTTACGGCTCGAATAATCTAACAGACTGATAACAGATTTCTATACATCTTCTGCACATCTTGAAGGAGAGGCTTTTTACCGACCATGACATTTCGGCTGCTGTATACCTAGAAGTAACCATATCTCATAAATGTGAACATTTAATGCAACGGATTGAAGTATTGCCATTTGAGAATTATTATGCATAGAGGGAGGAGAGGAAAAATAATTTTCTGCTTGATTCAACTGTTACTTGATGCAGATCCATAGTTATTTCATAAACTACACCTCACGATTTGATCTCCACAAACTTTATTTGAGAAATATATCACGAGATATTTTGCTAACACAGTAGCTTCATCAACAGTGATTTGAATACTTCAAGTTGCTTCTTACACTAATATTTATATACTACAGGTAACTATAATTGAGACTACCTCCAACAAATTACCTAAACCTCTACCTGAGGTACCTCTCCAATTATGATCACATGAATCATGTTACCTCACTTCTACGTTCATGATAATTCTTTCTCAGTCTAAGACAAGTGAAATATTTTTTGAAAAAATCAAACATACTTTTACTGAAAGGGAAAAGTTTAAATTAACATTGATGAACCCCCCAAATTCCAAAATTATACTCACTCATAAAACTGCACCAACAGAGTTATCCAGTTAGACCAGTGGTTTCCTTTGTCACTGCAACATCAGTGAAATTGACAGAAAGAAATCAGTATTATCTTGAACCATTGTAACTTCCAACCAAAATTCAGTCTAAGGAATGTATATGACTAAATCAATAAAATTAAGAACATACCTTTACCAGACAACGCAAAATTACTATACTTTGATGTGCAGAATCTATTTCCCAGCATACCTCCTGATGATACTATTACTTCAGTAATAGAATTATTAGATAAAAATAGAGTGAACCCAGTCATAAAACGAGAAATAATTGACCTTCTGTCATTATGTCTCAACCAAAATTATTTTCAATTCAACAACGATATTTATTTCTCTTCAGTAGGTTTGATTATGGGATACACATTAAGCCCATTACTTGCAGAAATTTTCATGGATAATCTAGAGATCATCCTCTAAACATATTGGCATTGGCATAGATATATGGATGACGTTTTGTTATGTTTCACAGGTACTAAGAGGCAATTTGATACTTTTCATGAAAAAATTCATGAAAACATTAAATTCATTTTTGAAGTAGAAGCAGACAACTCAATCAATTTCTTGAACTCAACAATCAGTAGATGAACAACAAACATGATTTTTCAATTTATCACAAACCGTCCTATACGGATATTACTATACATTACGATTCTACCCATCCATATCAACACAAAGTAGCAGCTTACAATAGCATGATTCACAGATTAGTCAATGTTCCTTTTTCAATAGATAATTCCAATAAATAACTTAATATCATCAAGCAAATTGCAGTAAACTATGGGTTTGAAGCCAAATTATTAAACAAAATACTTTCCAAAATAGTCTACGCAAAAGCGAATCGAAACTTTTTTCCTAATGATAAGTTAGATAATCAAAATTATAGAGCTTTAACGTATTCAGGACAAACAACGGAAAACGTGGCTTCATTTTTGAGGAAACAAGATGTTAAAATTGCATATAGACCAAGTAATAAGTTGGGAAAGTTAGTTGAACATAATGCTGGTAAAACATCCAAATTCGATCAATCAAGAGTATATAAATTAAAGTGTGGAACGTGTCCTAAGGTCCCGTGGGTTGGGCTATCTATCGGGCGAGTCCCCAGGTGGCGGATAGGGAAACGGCCAGGGGACTGGAGGCCCTGTCCGGAAAGTGGCCCTACGGACGGAGTCGCCGGACTCCTGGTCAGTGGCAGAAATAAGAAGGGTGAAGGGAAGTAAAACCCCCTGAAGCCTTTGCAAAACATACCACCGTGGACCAGCTTACCCAAGCTAAGGTGTAAGGAATCGTGCCGACAGCTGAATGGCTGCAGGGTGATATGCGGTCACGAACGATCCCCTTGAGAAACTGGGCGTAACCTCATTATAATCGGCCTACCTCTGGTAATGCGAGACTCTACCAGAGGTCACCAACTCTTTCCTTGATATCCGTGAGAACACACATGAATGAAACAACAGAAACAACAAAAACCAATTCCGAGGCTAAACAAAAGTGCTCACCCCAATCTAAGGCGGTGGCTGGGGATGAACCGAAATGTCCACCCCAATCTACGGCTTGGAGTGAGGCTGGACATAGCAGATCACCTTCAACAGCAAAGGCACTTCCTGCGGCGGGCGCCAAGAGCTCCGCCTTGAATAAAGGCAAGGAACCGGCTACCCCTGCAGGAAAGCTCCCTCACTTGTGCCACTCCACGGAGGGAACCCCAAAAAGGTTGAAGAAGCCGCGCATGGACAGTACTATCGCTTCACCTTCGCGGAGGCCATCGTGAGATACCTCAAGGTTTCCAAAGAGAGTGTGTGTTCGGTGAGTCATCACATACATCTGCCAATATGAAGGAGATGTTTCCTAGTGACCTGTTCACCTTCCTGGAAAGGACAGGATGGACGATGACCTCGGAGGACAACTCCTCGGGAGGATGTGCAATGGGTCACATGTGGCCTAAGTGCTGTGAGTCTACACTCACCCTCTCTACTCTACAGACACCAGATACGTGTCCTAAGGTGTATATTGGTCAAACTGGCAGAACATTTAGGAATCGAATCCAGGAATATCATGTGAGCTATGTAAATAAGAAAACAAGTTCAACATATTCAAATCATGTTTCAGAAGAAAATCATATTTTTAACGAAAAGTTCGAAATTTTACACATAGAAAATAAATGTTTGAAATTGAACCATTTGGAAGCAATGGAAATTAATAGACTCAAAAATTCAAACTTTCTAATGAATAACTAACTGGATTTGAATAGATCACTATTATTGAACTGTTTTTCTTAGACCGAGACTGCATTTCAGTTGTTTCGGTTTCCGTTGTTTAATTTCGAATCCATTCAATTACTATTCCTCTAATGCCGATATAACCCAACTTTTGCAGAATGATGTTATGATTTAGTTAAATAATGCCTTTCGCGAATCAAGTAATTATATCCCACAAATATTATTCGAATCTGAGTGAAGTTGAATATAGAAAACAATATCCAGTACTGTACTCTGTATCACTGGACATACAAAAAACCATAGGTAGAGAAATTTTATGAAATATATGTATTTGTATATTTTCCGTTCGAATTCCTAGAGTGAACGAACAAGCCTATTCATTCAAGCAACGTAATCCTTTTACGACTCCCAAAATGATTCCTCACTTCCAAACCGTTTTATAACGCTCATTTGCATCCTATCGCCATAATTCTCTCATGTCCTTTAATACGTCACTGTCAAGTGCGCAACACAGATGAAATACATGAGGGTATAATCCGAATTTTCAGGATAATGGGATGAGCTCCTCTGGAATGGCAAATTATTCAATTCAGCCGTCGGCAGTGCCATCCAACCGAGCAAATCCGAAATATAAAGTCAATGCTATACACTTAAGAAACAAGCTTGTTCTCCCTGAATCTCCGAAACAGCACTTACAGATGATTGAACAGAAATGTGATAATGAGATGATCAAGCTGCAAACGTATATTGACAGTATCAAGCATCTCAGAAGGTACTGGAGAAATATGAGTTTCGACAGAGAATCTAAAATGGCATCGAGACCCAACACTTCATCAAAAAGAAAATCACAGTCCTCTATCAACTGATTGTCAAGAATTTGCTTGTGGAATGTTTTTTCGGTCTATCTTGTATGATATTTAATAAAAATTTTGACATGTTTGATTTGATTATCTATATAGAATCTAGATGAAAACAATCCGCAGGATTGTTCACCGAAATCAACTTCTGAAAGTATGTGTGAAACTTTGTAAAAAAAAAAACTTTTAAAAAAATTTCTGTTTTAATTTGAAAGGGTTATATTTTCAGGAATAGATAATTTTTTTGGGAAAGAAAGTTTTTGGCTTTCTACTACTCCATCTTGATATAGAAAATGCGGGAATCTTCCAAAGAAAGGAAGAAAGTAATCAATTTCAAAAGAAGTAACTGTATACATAGATGTGTAGATCATGCCAAGAAGAAACTTTCAGACACAAATCTGAAAGAAAACATTGAATTACACGAAAGAAAAATTATTTCGAAACAAATACCTTTATATGAACACTGAATTATACAGAAAACACTTTTTCCTACCCAGTTTGTATTCCAAACATTCGTTATGAACATGACATAAGTAGATCAAACTTAATCCGTGACATAAAAAAAAAATCAATAGTATTCATAACAATATACATTGAAAAAATTGGAAAACTAAACGTTTTTGTATAAAATAAGGAGTTCTTGAAGAAGTTTTGAGTTCAGATTCAGACCGAAAACGAAATTTCACCAATATTTCAACTGACAGATTTGGACTTATCACCCTGTTTCTACTCGAGACGTTCTGCCACATTCAGTGTTTTCGTTTCTGTAATCAAAGTGGGGTTGATAGAAGGTAAAACTGGAACCTCTAGCATAGAATAAATTCAAAACAAACACTTTTCACAAATGCTAGAACTACAGAACTCCTGGAGACACCAACTTGGTTAGAGAAATGCGCGACGAAACGAGTATTGCACTGGTGGTGTTTTGAAAACCAATGTTCCATATTTCACTTGAGAAAACTAAATGATTATGAACAGTTGAAAGTATCCCTCTTTTCTATAAATATGCTATTCGATTTCATACATTTTCTTAGAAAGCTATCAGAGTATTTGACAAAATTCAATTCCAACTAACTTGTGGCTCTAATCTATATTAACTATACCTTCGGTAAATATTCTAGAGGTTGATGCGTTCATTTTGAAATTGAAAATGTTGGAATCGGTGCCACTATATCCCCTCAATTAAGTAATATATCATCAGTTTCACCAATATCAAAGAAGGAACAAATTGAAAGTCCAAAAATACTTCATTGAAAAAATATCATAACTACATTCCATCATTCATCACCTAAAGGGTGAAGTGTAAAGGGCTTGCTCTTCGTTATGGACGCGCCTTCGCGGCCCCACTGAAAGGAGGAGGTGGGGAATGACCCCCCCATATGTTAGCGGGTTGCATCCACCAAGAAATGTGGAATTTGTTACTCTGTATTATTCATGTCCCTTTTGTATAAGCCTATGCACACATTTCCATGCAATCGATGTTAAGGTCATTTAAAAATCGACACCGCTATGGTTGTCAGAATTGGCCGGATACTCCTAGGAAAAGTTCATGAAAAAACTAGGACGGAACTATCGATACGAGTTTCTAATGCTAGTTTTTTCATGCACTTGCAAGCGGTCTTCTACACACGCCCTTCGTGAAAGATTTTCGACGACTCATAGATCAGTCCACCATATCGGCGGGGCTGATTATGGTGAGATCTAATAGACGTGATTACACTAGTCAGCAAGCTTTCGGGAAGAAACCACTAGAAGTGTTTATCAGCGAGCCGTCTGATAAAATCTATGATAGGCTCGATTTTCGCTTTGTCTGGCAAACGCCTGAATGAAACATAGCTGCTGGCCTGATTACTTGTTTGTATATCAGGAAATTGTTGTCAACATTGAGTTTGGAATTTCATTTTATGGGAGAATGGTTGCGTTTTATTGCCTCTCGTGCTTTCTGAATTGCCAAACATACATGCTCTCGGAAATTCAAGCGCTTGTTTAGGATAACTCCAAGGTATTTCGCGCTTTTCTGTTCATTCACACATTTCCTTCGAATCGTCAATTTCCTGAAAATATTTATATCTTATGTCTCTCCATGTATGGTAAGACTAACCAATCCATGTGAATATGCAATGTCTCATTGCCACTTCGCTATATATCACGGTATCGTCCGCGTATATGCCTTCAATCTTTTTGGGAACATAGGAAACAGCAACAATTCTCATGTGCCACAGATGTTGAAGGAATGCTCTCAAAAATCAACATTCCATAGGCATAGGAAGGTATGTCTCTCCAAATGGGTCTATTCGATCTTTCACTGCAATCCGTGTTGAGGTATTATGGTTTACACTTATTCAAATTCAACCAATTTAATACAGATACTGAATAAAGCTTTTGATTGCATAAGGTGATTGATTTTCCAGGTAATCTGGCAATAGTAGGACTCAGCCAAACATTGAAAGCCTACTCTGGTTCGAGGCGGTGTAGAAACGGAGTATGGGCTCTGCTATCAAGGCCTGAATTTCTTAGTGAAAAATCATCTACTCCAAATTTGACAGACCATGATACTTTCTTTCAATCTATGATTCGCTCTCAGGGAGATATTATTTTCGAATATTTGTATTGTGAACCACCAAAAAGAGTTGAATCTAGAGAAAATTTAATCAATAATTTAAACTAGAAAGTTATACATACCTGATCTCCTGAGCATGCCCTGCTGCTATATTCCATTAAAAAAACATTCACTTTCAATAAATTGCTGGATGTAACGTGGTAGGAAATCATAATGAAGGAAGAAGAATTGAAAATTTCCATGAAATATATCAACATACATGCTAAGTCACTT